CACGCGGGCCTGTCAGTACTGCGTGTGTGTGCACGTGTGCGCATGCGGGCCTGTCAGTACTGCGTGTGTGCACGTGTGTGTGTGCACGCGGGCCTGTCAGTACTGCGTGTGTGTATGCACATGTGCGCGCGCACGCGGGCCTGTCAGTACTGCATGTGTGCGCGCACGCGGGCCTGTCAGTACTGCGTGTGTGTGCACGTGTGCGCGCACGCGGGCCTGTCAGTACTGTGTGTGTGCACGTGTGTGCACGCAGGCCTGTCAGTACTGCGTGTGTGCACGTGCGTGTGTGTGCACATGCGTGTGTGTGCACACGTGCCTGTCAGTACTGCGACTTGCTCTCTGAGCTTTCTGCTTTCACCACCTACCACATGAGACAAACCATCATTTCCTACTTTTTGCTGAATAATTGTGACAAGATCTTGGTTCTCACAGCCAACTGTAAACGATGTGGCTATGGGCTGGGAAGGCGGCTCAGTGGTAGAGCGCTTGCCTCGCATGCATGAGGCCCTGGTTCAATTCCACAGCACCACGTAAGCAGAAAAAAGCCAGAAGTGGCGCTGTGGCTCAAGTGGTAGAGTGCTAGCCTTGAGCTGAAGAGCTGAGAAACAGCGCCCAGGCCAAGTTCAAGCCCCACAACCGACCAAAAAAAAAAAAAAAAAGGATGTGGCTACATCATCTATTTATCCCCAACAACAAAGCTATAAAGCACTGAGATTTATCTTTTGGTCAGTTGTGGGGCTTCAATTATGGGTATGGACACTCTCCCTGAGTTTTTTTGCTGAAGGCTAGCACTCTACCACGTTGAGCCACAGTTCCAGTTCCAGTTTTCTGGTGATCAATTGGGAATAAGTCTCACGGACTTCTCTGTGCAGGCTGGCTTTGACCATGATCCTCAGATCTCAGCGCCATGAGTAGCAAGTGTGTCATGTAGTTCAGGCTGGAATTGAACTTGCTATGTAGCCTATCTAGCCTGTATGGCATTCATCCCACCTCTACCTCTCTAGGGTTGTGATTACAGGCATCCACCACCACAGCTGGCCAGCCCTTGAGAGGATTCCGACCAACCAGAACACAGAGAGGTGGTGACACTGAAGTTCAGGAGACGGCCCAGGGGTCCTGGTGGAATTGGAGTTTGCCCTAATGATCACAGCCACGCACGGACACACAAGTCAGATCCTTGCTATTTTAAGAATGTACTTTATACAAAATAATCAGTTCATATGGAAATAAATCTACAGACCTCTGAGGATCAAAAAGCTTTTTAAAAAGTTCTTTTAAAAAATTATCCAACACACAATATTGAACTAACTATTGAGGTAAGTGTCGCTCTCAGTGAAACAGGGAATCAGCAGACCACGACAAAATATACACAAATAAAAAAATAAATAGCATTCCCCTTTCCAGTACTGGCCAGAAAATTCTCCAGGGCATTCACTTCTACAGCAGGAGTGTGGACTGTGTGTGGACTGCAGGTGGAGCAGGGAAAAGGCAGGTGGGCAAGGCACCTGATCTGGGACAACATCTGAGTATCTCAATAGCCATCAACCTGTTCCCTCCCACCCCTCCACCCCGCCCCAACGCAACCCTTCCAGAAACAGAAGCAGGGCAAACGGCTGGTTTTCAGGCATGTCTACTAAAGAGTTAAGTCAGAACGAACAAGAGGTGCCGAGCCCAAGCCAGGGAAGACGTGTGCTTAGCTAGCGGAGAGGGCTGCAGACAAAGCTTGTGTCCTGTTTCTCTGAGAGCTAGGATATAAGCAAAGAAGACCCTAACTGCGTCTTCCCAGTGGAAAGGCAAAGCTCCGATGCTAAAGCCTTGAGGGAGATCTAAAGCCACTGGACAAAACATCTACCCTGGTTATCTTCTCACCTAGCGTGGCTCAGCCACATTCCTGGTGACCAGTGACGTGGGACTAGAAATGACAATTGCCTGCTGGCACAAATGCCACTGTCCTCACTACAAGTTGTGTTCAAAATGCTATCTGCTGAGAGACCACATTCCAGAAACCTCCAGCGGTAAGCAGTGGCAACTCGTCCACAGCGGCTCTCCATGAGGACCGGAAGGAGCGGACAAAGGGACAGACACAGGTGAATGCCAGCGGTGACTAAGGTCATCACACCCTGGTCTTGGGACTCTGGATTAAGACTCTGGGTGGAGTTTCACATTCGTTTTTAAGAGATGTGTGCCACTCGTGGATAAGAAAGATGGGGGAGGAGAAGTGAGGGAAGAGAGGCTTCTCGGTGCTGACCTTGGGGACGCCAGCAGCAGGGTTCTGCGTTTGTGGCAGCATTTAGCTTAGTTACCACAGGTGCTGGCGGGTATTAGAGTAACAATACCCAGACAGCAGCTGAACATCACAGAACAGCAACTACAAAGGTCAGGAGAGGATTCCACAGGAAGGCTAGAGCGAGCTGACCACGACTAAGACGGGCAGCACGGAGCAGGAAGCCAGCAGGAATCTGCCTTCTGAGGGGACAGCCTGACGCGTGCCAGGCGACACGACAGGGTGGCTAAACAGACTCCGAGGCTCTAACCAGCCTGAGGCAGGAGATGGACCGGGTTGGGGGCGGGGACGGGGAGAGAATGTGGCTCCCGTGGTAGAGCACTTGAATAGCAAGTGCTGGGGGGAGGGAGCCGGAGCGGCAGGGGAGAGAGAAACAGAAACTAATAATCAAAGAATCCTGCATATCCTTCTCCATATTCACCTGTCACAACAAATCTTGGCCCAAACCTCCTGCTACTTTTTAAATGAACCGACTGACAAGGGGCAGAAACCTGAAAGGCTGGACTTCTGTTTCTGAGCATTTGTTTCTCCGTGGCTTTGTGTGAGGAACCAGTTTCTAAGTTATTCATCCTGAGTGGTAAACAGCAATGGCAGTGCTTCCAAGGATCCCCAGGGACCACAGCAGGTGGCCTGGTGTAGGGTGCATGCCCTTTGGAAGATGCTTTGCCCACTATTCTCACATCTGCTTAGTGCACTTGGAAAGAGAAAAGCCGGAGGAGGAGAAAGGTAAAATGAGGGGTCCTGTCTGGGGGGGCGACTGAATGTGGGACTCTCAGAGGCTCCGGCAACTGTCAGCTGATCTGCTCTCCAAAGACCACTACAAGTGGGAGAATGCCCAGACGAGGGATGACGGCCACCAAGTTCGCAAACAGGATGCAACGGAGGCCACTGTGCTGTTCCTGCTCATAGTGTTGCAACTCCATTCAGGGATTCGATACCTACTACTCTCAGCATGTTCTCAGTTGCCTGTAAACTGGGGGAGGGGAGGGGGCCCGGAGCGAGGGGGGAGCGGCACCTAACGCGGTGTGTACACAGTGTACCTACAGCTTTAGTGCTACGGACAAAGCCCTGTCTGTGGCAGGACGGACTGGGCTCAGGCTCAGGATTACGCAGATGCTTTCTGCGCCCTGCACAAACTGGAGTAACTGCTCTGTCCATCTCAGCACAGGCCAGCCTGAGGGCAAACTGATCCGTCCACCTACCTGAGAACTCAGCCTCACAACTCACCTGACTCACAGGAGTAACGAATGTAACATGAAGTCTGTTACAGAAAACCTTCCGCTCATATGCTACGTGCCTCGGAGGCCCTGTGTTCCTCCCTCTCCATCTCACCACATTACATTAGCAAGCACTGACTTCCTGGGACGAATTTGCAAGAAGTGCGGATGCTGCGTCTATTCACTTCTAGAGCCTGGATGCTACCAGTCTAGCTCCTTTCCTTCTGATCGCATATTTAGCGGATTGTAAACAACAGTTCTCAAGTTAAAAAACAAACAAACAAACAAACAAAGATAGGGCCTCACCATGTACCTAACCCAGGCTGGCCTTGAGCTCACAATCCTCCTGCGTCAGCCTCTCACTTGCTGGGATTAGACACGAACCACCACACCTAGCTTATCAGTTCCCCATTTACTGAGGAAACTGGAACTGGAGGGAAGGGTTCTACCAATCCTGCCCACAGCTAAGTTGGTAAGAAACTAAAGATGCACGTTTTATGAAGACTTCTACTAACCCCAAAAGCATGCTTCCAAAAAAATGCTATTCCTTACTAAACTGGAATTTCAGGCTATTTCCCGTCTCTCCTTCTGGGATATTTAAAAGTTTAAAGATGGGCCCAAACTTGGGTGGCATCTTAGCTAAAATAAAACACAGAATGCTAAACAGGGAGGATCCAGTGTAATTAACTTGTAAATCCATAATAAACAATTTAATACTGAAAAATTGTTTCCTATCAGATACGACAAAATGCTTTCTAATAATTTATATTTGACAGCTAATTTAAATCACCATAGCTGATTATACTATGATTCACTTAACTGAATAAAAACTATATACTGAAATATTCTTCAGTTCAAACTGTATATCTATAGGATACACTTTTTTTTATTCAAACCTGTGCAATTTCTTTACTGAGACTAACACATACAAACCTGAGTAGTCATGTTCACCAAATGTGGTTTGTGCTAGAAAGCTCTGCGTGACCCCTTCTACAGCACCCCCGAGAGGCCTCTCGTAAGTGAAACACTGCAGTCAGTCCAATTCCTGACACCAGTTCACAGTATCTGAAAAATCAGGATGGAATACCACTTTCACAAGTCCAGGACTTAGGTCATCTGAGCGCCAGCACCTGCCTTTGGGGCTGAAGGTCCCAATGGTCACAAGAGAGCACTACCTCTGATGAGGAATAAACAGACGGTACACTGGACTCAAGGGAGAGCTTTCTCTGTCCAAGGCTGGACAGGCCGGTCACTAAGGAAACAGAGGCTGTGATGTGTAACAAGATGAAACTTCCCCCGCCCTCTCCCCAAGCTCCCGGAAGCATTTCGTGTGTGACGTGATTGTAAACAGACAGAGAGACCACGGCAGCGCTGTGTGCCCACTACGATCGGGACTCCTGTCTCCTTCACATGCCCACCCATCCTTCCCACTTTATGTACAATACATTCACCACCAACAAAAAATATTTTAAAAGGCAACATGAAAATTCTGTAAACTGGACCCAGCTCCAAAAACATTAATACTACAAGTAGTCCCTTCCCAAAATATATTCCTGAGTTGAGCTGTTCATAAATTTTAAAAGCACCACTCCAAGATCCCTGCTCAAGTTTAAATCGTGTTTCCCTGACCGAGTCTCAGGACTTGGAGAAGTCAGCAGCAACTCGGGCTGATGTGGCAACCCGGGACCGCTGCAAGCCAGTCATCTAGAGGGCCTGTCGAAGGCTCCAGCTGCTAAAAGCAGGGCGGTGGAACAGAGGCGGGCGGGCGAGGGTCACTCCCCAAATCCTCCACGCTCAGTCTTCATGCACAGCTTTCTGTTTCATCGGGGGCTATATCCTCCTTGGACTAGCTCTGAGAGAAACAAACAGAATGAAAATATTTTAAAACACACAAACAAAGGATTTCACATTGCTAAAAAAACAATGTCACTCCCAGAGGTGTCCTGCAAGTGCTGGGCCCTGATTCAGACCCCGCCCACTGCTCAATCACTGCAGACTTCTTGCATGCTGGGAAATACAGTCGCTGCTGACAGCTTCTTTACCGTATCAAGGATGAGAGTGAATGGGAGAGTTAATAGTGTGTGGGACTCCCCCGCCCCCAGCACATGGCAGAGAAGTAGCAGAATTCAAAGATAGCTATTGTCAGCGGGGTGCTGGTGGCTCACATTTGTAATCCTAGCTACTCAGGAGGCTGAGATCTGAGGATCACGGTTCAAAGCCAGCACAGGCAGGGACGTCCTTGAGGCTCTTAGCTCCAATAAACCACCAGAAAACCAGAAGTGATGCTGTGGCTCAAGTGGTAGAGTCCTGGCCTTGAGCTGAAGAGCACAGGGACAGCACCCAGGCCCAGTGAAGCCTCAAGACTGAACCCCCCCCAAATAAAATACAAATAAAAAAAAATAAGTAATAGCTATTGTCATTTTAGTCTCTCTCACAAAGAGTAGGCTAAGACAGGTAAGGGACTATGGCAAAAGAAATGAGCAAAAAAAGGGGTTTGCATAAATTCTTCTAATTAGGTGGTTGCCAAAAAGACTAGTGGGGCGGGGGGCGGGGGGGAAGCATGTAGTATCAGAAGGTCCTTCAAGATGCTTGGGCTTGGGCTAGGAGCACAGGGCTGACTATCCTGTTCTACCCGGTTGCCTAAATACAGGGAAACCTCTTTAGAAAAAGTTCCTGTATCAGAAAGGGTGCTGTGGCTCAAGTGATAGAGCACTAGCCTTGAACTGAAGAGCTGAGGGACAGCATCCAGGCCCAGAGTTCAAAGCCCCATGACTGACAAAAAAAAAAAAAAAAGTTTCTGTATTAACAGGATACCTTAAAAAAAAAAAGTTCCTGTATTAACAGGATACCTTAAAATTAATATTGTTTCCCAGTACTCGTGGCTCATGCCCATAATCCGAGCTTAGTAGGCTAAGATCTGAGGATTGTGGTTCAAAGCCAACCCCAGGCAGGAAAGTCCGTGAGACTCTTATCTCCAATGAACCACCAGAAAACTGGAAGTGTAGCTGTGGCTCAAAGTGGTAGAACATTAGTTCTGAGTGAAAGGGGACAGCACCCAGGCCCTGAGTTCAACCCCCTCAGACCGGCCTCCTACCCCGACCAACAGAGTGTTGCTTAGTAGTATACTACTTGCCTAGAATTCAAAGGCCTTAGGTTTGATCTCAGCATAGCAAAAGACCAAACAAACCAAACCCCTACTACTCCTATACAACTTGTTCTCAGAATAGCAATGAGATCATGCACAAGTAAATCAGTCTTACACTAGAGGTAAAACCTAAGGCATGTTAGGCAAGTAATCTACCACAGCCCAAGACGTTTCCAAGTTTATTCACAGACTGGTGTGACCAACCAGCTTTCCAAAGTCAGGAAACCTCAGGGCCAAGCACTGTGAGGAAGGAATAGGTAGTCTGTATTTATGTCCTAGACCTGGAGGAGTAACGAACCCCAATTCTTACTTGACCCAGCGGAAGCGATGGGGGCTTATGCGATGACAACTGTTCTGGTGATGCTGCTGGTGCTGGCGTCTTTGAGAATGAGGACTGTGAGGGGACCGGAGGCATGTACATGCTACAGCCATAAAGAGCGAACAGTGAAGAATTAATGAAGATTAGTAGTTCCCAAAGAAAACATTTTCATCATGCTGCTGCTGCTGCCTGAACTATCTGGGTGATTCAACTTGGAATCATCAATCCTGGGACCAAATGATAGTGTGAGCCTTCTAGAGACAGAGCCAGAATCTGGGTGGTGGCAGTGGCTCATGCCTGAAATCCTAGCTACTCAGGAGGCTGAGATCTCCAATGAACCACCAGGAAACCGGAGGTGGTGCTCTGGCTCAAGTGGTAGAGCGCTACTTGAACCAAAGAGCACAGGGACAATGCCCAGGACCAGAGTACAAGACCCACAACAGGATCCCCCCCCGACACACACACACAAAAAGCAAAATAAAGACAGAACGATTCTTTTGAAAAGAGACTAAATACAAGTCAACTCTGAGCCTTGAACAGATTTTAGGTCAGAAACAAATAGGAAAAGGTTAGTTCTGAAAGACTTTTAAGGATAAGAGAAAGGCAGGAAGGGTTTTGTATTGGGGGTTCTTTCCCGTGGGTGGCAGAGTGTTGAGATTACGCTGCAAGGCACTCCTTTTAGGAGAGGGGTGCTGAGGTACTTGGTTGTGGGAAGGATCTGAATGCTGAAACTTAATTTCCAATGGTTTAGGCACATGGGTACAGAACTTGTGGTTTGCCAGCCTCGAAATCCTTTAGTACATGGGTGTACCTGAGGCGATCTGCTGCTTTGTGGGGCCTTTCAATTACGTTGTAATATCTGAATGGGCCCTGGCCGAGGAAAAGCAACAAAAGGCAAGGAGATACAGGTGTGTCAAGTATGAAATGGGGCACGACAGCACACACCTCAAGTCCTACCCCTTGGACAAAGTAGAGGCTACAGGGAGCAAGTTCCTGCCAGTCCAAGCTACGGAGTGAAATAACACTGTCTCAAAACAGAACACGAGTGACAAAGCCAACTCATTTTCACAAAGGGGGGAAAACGGTCACAAGAGCAAAATGAGACACCATGAACGGTTCACATGTTCTTCTCGGTCCCGAACCACTAGAGCTTTAAATCTTCCTTTTTTTCTTTTCAAACTGAACATGTGTTATGTCTTGAGAGATAAGAAAACAAGCGACTGGACTCGGTCTCTTACCCGGACGGTCTGTACACCTCTTGGAAAGACCCCCTCAGCCCGCTTCCTGCGCCCATCTGCTCCATCATCACGGCCTGGAAGTGGCCCCGGCCCTCGTCCTGACAGGGATACAGAGGGCCCTCCTGGGAGAGGCCGTTGGGCTGGGCAGCCGCTGCATGGCGAGGTGGATGCGCGGCTGCAGGGGAGGAGTACACCCTGGACTGGAAATGACTGGCTGACCGCGGAGGCGTGTACGGAGGCCCAGTTTGTAGCATCATACCGTGAGGGGGGAAGACAGGGGCACCAAAACCCATCCCCGAGCTCAGGGGTGGGGCAGCTCCATAGAGATAGTCACTGGATGAGAGCGCACTCTGTCGCTTGGTAGCTGCATTGTGGTTGTCTAGATCTAAAAATTCTTTGGGACTTTCAGGCCTCTCCATAGACTCATCTAGCTTTTCTTCCTCAGGACCAGAATTTGGCCCATCGGCTGGGACAACTTTAGCAGCCACAGCATCTATCTGAGTTGGAGAAGATAAGGCAGTATTCAGCGTCTCACAGCCCTGCAGATCGGCCATAGCACTCTGCCGTGGGGGCAGAGGGTGACTTGCTGAGGGTCCGTTTGGGCTTCCCTGGGGATGGAGTGGTCTCTGCCAGTCAGAAAAGCCCTGTGGACATGTGTAGTAAGGAGTTCGCTGGTAGTGATGATAGGAAGGCTGAGGTGGTGGCTGGTAGGAATACCTCATTCCCTGGTGGGGGCGGAACCTGGGAAAGACGCCAGGATGGGGGCTGGCGGACTGAAAGGCTCTGGGGGGGAAAGGCTGAGGATGTGACACCGAAGGCTTCCCCCCCATCACAGGGCCCAAACCCTGCAGGCCTGGGCCGACGTGATAATGAGGAGCTGGATTCGCATATTCTAGGCCAGGCATGTACAAGGGGGAAAACTGGCTCACAGAGCCTGGCATTAAACCGGAGTCTGCACAGGATGGTGTTACTGTGCTCTGCCCTGTGCACGGTAAGGTCTCCTGTGCTGTTTTGCCTCTGGGGCACAGGGGCTTTTCTGAACCAGTGCCACCGAGGCCTCTTCCGTCTGAGCCGCAAGGGGAAGCCTCACCAGTGGCCCCGTTTTCAGGTAGAGCCCCTCTGTCTGACACCACAGAGAGGTCTCTCACACAGCCCTGGGCAGCTGGGCTACAGTAGCTGTTATCCACAGGCCAGGCGTTCTTGCCCTTTGCTGTTTTGCAGGTGTTGTCAGCTTCTGAGGAGTCGCCTTTGAGCTGTGGGCCCTCCGATTCTCTCTCTTGCACCGGGCTCTGCTTGGTGCAGTCAGCTTGCAGGGGAGGTGTAGCCTGAGGTAGCTGTTTGAGGTAGACCCTCTCTGAAGCACTAATGCCTACTGATTTCTCTTCAAGCCCGGGCAAGGACTCTGCAAAGAATGACAAAAAAAAAAAAAAAGAGTGAACTAATAGAGGCTGAGGACACCGAGGAGCCCAAATGTCAGGGCTTGCATGCTCTCTTGTGTGGAACTAGAGGTGGAACCTAGCGCCTCTAAAGCTACCCCCTAAGGCCTCCCTCCGGTGCAGCTGGTCAGGTTAGAAAGAGACCGAGAGACGATCAGAGCTCATGGACTCCAGGTGGATGCACATGAAATACAGCAGGAGACTGCGGCTGTCATCAGCATTGCTGCCCATATAAGAAAGCTTGAAGCACTGAAGTACTCGTCTCTTCAGAACAGAGGCCCCCTAGCAGGGGGCGGGGCTCCCACTTTCAGCAAGTGTTCTCAGTACTTGGAAAATGCAGACTGAATCTCTACCCGTGAATGAACACACTTATTATGGGCCTTTGGGATGGAATCCAGAACCTTATGAGACTAAGCATAAACTTTAGTACTGAGCAACACTCTTGTTTGGAAGTCTCAAAATACATTTATATATATATATATATAAATAAAATAAAACTGGGCACAAGTGGCTCACTCCTGTCATCCTATCTACTCAAGAGGCTAAGATCGGAGGATCATGGTTCTAAGCCAGCCCAGGCAGCAAAGTCTATGAGACTCTTACTTCCAATTAACTGCCAGAAAACCAGAAGTAGAGCTATAGCTCACACTGGCTGAGCACTAGCCATAAGCAAGAGGGTTCAGGGATAGCACTCAGGCCCCAGTTCAAACCCCCAACTCACACATACAACATACAACATACAATAGACACACACACAAAAAAACCCAGCTGTAACAAAAACTCAAAGGCATCTTTTTTTTTTTTTTGGTTGGTCATGGGTCTCGAACTCTGGGCCTGGGCGCTGCCCCTCAGCTTTTCAGCTCACGGCTAATACTCTACCACTTGAGCCACAGCACCACTTTTGGCTTTTTCTGCTTATATGGTGCTGAGGAATGGAACCCAGGGCCTCATCACTGGGCCAACTTCCCAGACCCTCAAAGGCATCTTTATCAGGTTATAGATTTTTTTTTTGGTCGGTCGTGGGGCTTGAACTCTGGGCCTGGGCGCTGTCCCTCAGCTCTTCAGCTCAAGGAGAGGCTCTACCACTTGAGCCACAGCACTACTTCCAGTTTTCTAGTGGTTAATTGGAGATAAGAGTCTCACAGACTTTTCTGCCTGGGCTGGCTTTGAACCGTGATCCTCAGATCTCAGCCTCCTGAGTAGCTAGGATGACAGGCATGAGCCAGCGGAGCCCAGCCAGGTTATAGATCTTTCGTTTACCTGTTTTCCAAGTTCAGAAAACCAAACTCCAACTATACAACAATTTAATACACTGAATAATTACAGTTTACACCTCCAGGGCTTCACTACATCAATTCATTAATATGAATGAAATATCTACATTATATACAATATACTATATATAATACTATACCATATACTATATGCAAATATACACATTATAATATGGATGACACCTCTCTAACCTACCTATACACACATGTACACGCACCTATGTTTCTAGGAGGACAGGGCTTGTCCAAGTGTGATCATAATCTGAGTCTGGTAACAGACTGAGGACAAGATTTAAGATTCATAATGAAGCCAGGCACCAGTGGCTCACGCCTGTAATCCTAGCTACTCAAGATCTGAGGATCACAGTTTAAAACCAGACCAGGCAGGGAGAGTCTGTGAGACTCTTGTCTCCAATTAATCACTACAAAAACCAGAAGTAGATCTGTTGCTCAAAGTGGTAGAACACTAGTCTTGAGCAAAAAGAGCCCAGGAACAGTGCCCAGGCCCAGAGTTCAAGCCCCATGACCACCAACACAACAACAAAAACAAAAAAACCTTTAACATCTTTTATAAAAGGTTCCTTTATACAACTACCTAAATTTTTAAAAAAAGTAAAAGTGTCTCTCCATTCTCCAGTCATATACTGAAGAAAATCCACACTTCTCCTCTGGTTCTGCTAAGAAACTGCTCCGAGCTTTCCTCACATTTGCTAACTCTTCACGCTTATGTGCAGGTGTGTAGGAGTGGGGCAGAAGACCTGTGAGGAACAGTCAGAAATAGGTGGGCTGGGGGCAGTCTGAGCTCAAGCAGTGAAGTGGGGCAGTCTCCACCTGACCCACCATCCACCTGCGAACGGCAGCGAGGGAACACTGTGGTCAAGAATAATTGGACCTAGTCTGGCTACTCTCTACCCAAAGGGCAAATCGTGGACCTAGACTGTTTGGCTACTCTCTACCCAAAGGGCAAATCGTTCTGTGCCTTGGATTTCCCATCTGTAAAAAAAACAGGGATATTGATGGTAATCAATATGATAATCACAAAAAGAATGTCACACACTCTAAGTGCCCTGTGGTATAGCAGTATAGAAGTTTACACTAAAAGTACTTCAACTGGCCCAACGGGCGTACTTTGGGCGAGTGCAGGAGAACCACACTCTGTGTGAACAGTGAAGGATCAGGAAAGAGAAGCAAGGTAGATTACCTCCATCCTTCTCAGATTCTTGTGTTTCACTGACATCCTGTGTCCTCTCAGGGTTGACCAAGGCGGGCTTGGGGACTGACACACTCACTGCTGCTGACTGAGCTGCCTGTGGGAAAGGGCTGGGTAGCGGGGACGGGGGATTCGGGTGGGGGTGGTAAGGCACACCTGGGGCACAGACGCGAGAGGAGAGCTGCTGCATGGCGAGCATCTCGGGGCTGTCCATCATGGAGTCCCCGCCTGGCACCCCTCGGAGGGCTTGGGAAGGCCCCCCGAACAGAGGGCTGGGCGTGGAGGCCGCAGGTGGCTGTGACCGGCGTCCTGCAGACTCACAGTGGGGTCGCATGTACCCTGAGGAAGGAACTCCATGAGGTAGGAAGTTTGATTGTTTAGTCCACTGGTTTGGGGCAACAGACGGTCTCATCCCCCGGACATCCATCACGTGGCCAAGGGTGTGTGGCTGGTGAGGGGGCCCGAGCCCCATGTGGGGCCTCTCATCTGGCCCCAGAGGTCCTGGGTTTGTAGCACCGTGGTTTCCATTCCAGACAGCTGAGCGCACTCGATTCAGGTATTTGTAGGATCGAAACATGTGGCTTGGAGGAAATTCGGAGCTTTCGGGGAAGTCTGGGTGTCGCGCTGGAGGAGCTCCACCGTGCCTGGGAGGAACGAATCCTGCTTGGAACGGGCCTGGGCTATACACGTCCTGACCGGGGCAACTCATCTGCCCGAGCGGCAAGGAGTGGGGCTGGGGCCCTGCGTGGGAAAGGTGTGTCAGCCCACCACACACGTGCGTCTCCTCAGGAGCTCTAAGCCGAGGGCCCCGGTGGCTGCTGTTTCCTCCAACTGGAGGCTGGGAACAAAAAGACAAGAAAATACAGGTAACAATCACAGAACACGGTGGACACGCTTCACCCACTGGGACTCTTCAGGACAGAAGACAATGAGTTAAACTGAATGTAGGAGGAGGCCTCACTTCTGACCCTTCCCAGCTCTGCAGTCTATGGAAGCTGATTACCTGCATGGCAAAGGGGGGCTGCTGCTGCAAGGGGCCTCCTGGGGGGGGGGGGCTTCTAGGACTCTGGAGAAGCCATACAAGTTGGTGGGACCTGATCTTTGAAGAGGGCCAAGTAACCCTGGTACTGCTGGCCTCTACGAGGCAAATAGAACAAGAGAAATAAAAGATACAGCTATCAGGAAAGAATAGGGTGTCTTGAAGACTATTAAAAATGTGCTCCTGTTGGGCCCTGGTAGTCACACCTGTAATCCTAGCTACACAGGGAGGCTGAGATCTGATGACTGTAGTTCAAAGCCAGCCTGGGCAGGAAAGGCCATGAGATTCTTTTTTTGGGGGGGGGGTCCAGTCGTGGGGCCTGGACGCTGTCCCTCAGCTCTTCAACTCAAGGCTAGTGCTCTACCACTTGAGCCACAGCGCCACTTCCAGCTTTTTTTTTCTTCTTATGTGGTGCTGAGGAATCGAACCCAGGGCCTCATGCATACAAGGCAAGCGCTCTACCACTGAATCACCTTCCCAGCCCCAGGCCATGAGATTCTTATCTCCAATTAACCAGCAAAAGGTCAGAAGTGGAGCTGTGGCTCAAGTGTCAGAGCACGAGCTTTGAGTGAAAAAGCGCAGGGACAGTACCCAGGCCCTAAGTTCAAACCCCAGGACCAGCACAAAAACCAGTCTTTAACCAGGTGCCGGTGGCTCACGCCTGTAATCCTAGCTACTCAGGAGGCTGAGATCTGAGGATCGTGGTTCAAAGCCAGCCCAGGCAGGAAAGTTCGTGACACTCTTTTGGGGGGCGGGGGGGTCCGGTTGTGAGGCCTGAACTCTGGGCCTGGGCACTGTCCCTCAGCAATTCAGTTCAAGGCTAGCGCTCTACCACTTGAGCCACAGCGCCACTTCCACCTTTTTTCTTTTTGCTTATGTGGTGTTGAGGAATCGAACCCAGGGCCTCATGCATGCAAGGCAAGTGCTCTACCACTGAGCCACCTCCCAGCCCCTGGTGAGACTCTTATCTCCAATAAACCACTGGAAAACCACAAGTGGGGTTGTGGCTTAAGCGGTAGAGCGCGCCTTGAGCTGACCAGCTCAGGGACAGCACCCAACCCAGAGTTCAAGCCCCACAACAAACCAAAAAAACAAAACAAACAAACAAAAAAAAGACCAACAGTCTTTCTCCATCTTTTTACAAATCTGCTCTCCACAATACCTTTGTGGGCATCCTGTCTGCTCCAAATGTACCTGATTGTGAAATTTTGTAAAGTCTCAGATACTCTGGGTAGTTTAGGTACTGCAGTATACATGGGCTTTTGACACTAAAAGAGGAACATTTCTTTATCTTTCCTTTTTGAGAGAAGTTTCTTGATGTTGTCTAGAGTGGTCTCAAACTCCTGAACTCCCAAGTAGCTGAGCTATACACATGTCACCCATGTGCCTATCCCTAAAGGCACCTGAGCAAAAGACACGTGCCTTTTATTAACCCCAAATGGCTAATGAAAAGAGGTTAAGGATGACTGGCAGAAAGGAAAGCACTCACACAACTGTCTTGAAACCAGTGAGTTCAGTTTCGGGAGAAACTGTCACAGGAACAGCTTTTTCTTACCGTCTGGTTGAAAAGGGGCTCCTGGCTGGGCAGTCCACCGCAATGCAAGGGGCGGGGAAAGCCCTGGCCATTGGAAGTCCCCACCTCTCGAGGAGGCTGTGCAGAACTGCTGCTCTGATTGTCCCCAGAGGAGACGCTGCGGCGAGCCGGTGGCAGCGACTTTCCTCCATTCTCCACCGGCGGCTGCCTCCTGCCGGGCCCCTCGGAGTCCCTTGAGCGTGTCCAAACGTGGCCACCACTACTCCGTCCAGCACGACTTCGTCTTTTCTCTCGTTTCTCATCCTCTCGGATCCAAAATTCCTCATCGGTGTCTCCGTCTTCACTAGGAAAATGTTTCATCATTGCTCGATGGAAACACCTCTCTAAATTATCAGACATCTTGGTATACTCTATAAGGAAGACACAAGGGTTGACCTCTAGGTAGTTTTGATAGAACACACACAAAAAACATTAAGTGCTTCTAAAAATAAGCAGTAGAAATGCCATTTGGCTACATTTCTAATTTAGTTCAACTTGGGAGCATATTATAGAGCTATGAACATAAGATGAAGACATGCTTCTGTCCATATTCTTCTGCCCAAGGTTAAATGGCTACTCCAGGATTATCACCTCAAATGAGTGAAAGTCTGATTCTGTTAAGCTAAGCTAAAAACAAATTACTAAGATTTGCTGAACTTGATTAAATTTTTTTGGTTTGGTTTGGTTTTTTGTGCCATCCTGGGGCTTGAACTCTGGGCCTGGGTATAGTCCATGAGCTTCTTTTTGCTCAAGCTTAGTGCTCTAACACTTGAGCCGCAGCTCCACTTCCAGCTTTTTGTGTTTAATTGGAGACTAGAGTCACATACTTTCCTGCTGGGGTTGGCTTCAAACCATGATCCTCAGATCTCAGCCTCCATCTGGGTAGCTAGGATTATGAGTCACCAATACCCGGCTCTCCTGAATTATTTATTTTTACTTTTTGAGACAAGGTCTTATGTAGTCAAAGTTAGCCTTTCAAGAATGCCCAGCATGGGGCTGGGAGGGTGGCTCAGTGGTAGAGCGCTTGCCTTGCATACATAAGGCCCTGGGTTCCATTCCTCAGCACCACATACACAGAAAAAGCCGGAAGTGGCACTATGCCTCAAGTGGTAGAGCACTAGCCTGGAGCTGAAGAGCTGAGGACAGCGCCCAGCCCCAGAGAAAAAAAAATGCCCAGTTTTCCAGCTTTGGCTGGGCACTGGTGGCTCATGCCCATTATCCTAGCTACTCAGGAGGCTGAGATCTGAGGATTGTGTTTCAAAGCCAGCCCAGGCAGGAAAAGTCAGTGAGACTCTTATCTCCAACTAACCACCAAGTGGTTAAGTGGCTCAAGTGGTAAGAGTGCTTGCCTTGAGCTGAAGAGCTGAGAGACGGCACCCAGCCTGAGGTCAAGCCCCACGACCAACCAAAAAAGAAAAAGAAAAAAACAAAAAAGAATGCCCAGCTTTGACCATATTATTTCTAGTAGTAATTTGGGGGGGGGGGTGTATAAATTAATTTCTCAATTGGGGATATGAGTCTCACAAACTTTCCTGCCTGGGCTGGTTTCAAACTGCCATATCTGTAATCCTCTGATCTCAGCCTCCTGAGTGGGTAGGATTAGAAGCATGGGCCACTGGTCCCAGCTGAAGGTATATTAATCTGATAGTAACAGCATTCAGCATGTCTTCATTCCTCACTTACCACTATTTTCCCCATTATATTTTCGACAATTCTTGAACATTGTCTTCATATCACTTATAAATTCTTCCTTGGTACAGTATATACCTCCATTCAATTTCTTCTCCATACTTGAAATATCCATGGGGATCTAACATTGAAGACATAATAGAACATTACTCAGCACTTCTGAAGCAAAGGTTTCATGCCATTACAAAATGCTTAAGAGAATGGTATATGTCCAATAATCTAATTTGTAAGAATGACAAAGAGAGTGGTAGAGAATCTGCAAGCAGCGCTGTGGCTCCAAGTGGTTAGAGCACTAGCCTTGAGCAAAGAGCTCAGGGATGGTGCCTAGGTCCTGACTTCAAGCTCCACAATGACCACCCCCGGTAACAAACAAACAAATGATGAGAGTGGCAGAGCACCAACCTAGCAAGCAAGCAAGCCACATGAACGTGACACCCAGTTCAAGCCCCAGTACCGCCAGAAGGGAAGAGAAAATTGTAACAAAATGAACTCGAGGAGCATAGGTGTGTGGCTCGGATGGTAGAGGGCCTGCCTACCAAGTCTAAACCCCAGAACCATCACCGGGAGTGACTCACACTTGTGATCCTAGCTACTCAGCAGGCTTTCATCTAAGCCATCAAGGCTCAAAGCCAGCACAGACAGACAAACCCTAGAGACTCCTATCTCTAGTTACCCAGAAATGGAGGGCATGGCTCAAGTGGTGGAGCTCCAGGTTTGAGCAAAGACATTTAAGTGAGAGAGCAAGTTCAAACCCCAGAAGAAAAGGAGGGAGGGAAAGAGGAAAGGAGGCACGGAGGGAGGGAGGGGAAAAGGGAAGAGACAAATAACAGAAGGGGGGGGAGAGTTAAAGAGAATGCAAGGGAGATGGGGGAAAGGGGAGGGAGGGAGAAGGGGAGGGGAAAGGGGAGGGGGAGGGGGAGAGGGAGAATGATAGATAAGCAAAAGAAAATTCCAGCAAAATACAGATACTAAATGAAGAGTTCAAACATACCTTAATAATCTGGTAATAGTTAGGGGCATAGGATTCATCTACAGGTTCCAGGAAGGGCCAGGAATCCTTGTGGGCCTTAACCACATCTAGAACTGAAAGAAACAAGAGAAAAGCAATCCACGCACACTCACACAGGAGGTTCTCAGAATCAGAGCCCGGGTATGGAGGACAGGTCCTCACCTTTGTACATGGCAGTGAAGTCGTCATCTAACTCAAAGCTGTGAATTGTAAAACAACACATTAGCACTAATTCACCATCATCTCTTAGCAATAGAGAGATCATCAGATTTCCCCATCTCCAAACTAATTCAAGTGACTCATCAGCACATTCCTTTCTCATTTCCGTGGGGACAGGGGTTAGCAGGCTTTGAATGACCAATTCTCCTGCCTCAGTCTCCCTAGTGCTGGAATTCCACACACGTGCCGTCCTGCTTGGTTGGAAGTGAAAACAGAAGCAGTTACGCTGTGTGCTGAGCATGGTGGGGAATGCCTGTGATACCAGCAGAAGAATCTCAAGTTCCAAGCCAGAAGGTTACGGAAAGATACTGCTAACCCCCAAAAATAAAAAATCCCCACTCTTCTAAACTAAAAAGATGTTCTTTGTACTTTCAAAATAATCAGATTCTTAGAAGTAATCCGATTCTAGTTTCTTTAGCGTAACAGAGCTTTGTAGAGGGTCTCTGTGCTTGTGACAGAGCAGGGCAGTGGATCTGTGTGCGGGGGCTCCGTGGGTTTAACACCCACTCCTGTTCTTTGCGGTCTCGCCACGCTCCCACAGACAGGTCTGTGACAAGGCTTGCTGCCATTATTACTCACAGGTCCTTAGGCTTCTTCTCCTCCCTCACGGGAGAGCTGGGGTCCAGATGGGACAGTTCGGGGGGAAGCTCCTTGCCTTGAGCCAGCAGCCATGCCCGTTCCTCCCTGAGCTTTCTCCTCTTGGCACGATCTAGAGGGAACACGGACGTGATGGTGAGCACTGTGCTTGCAACCCTGCTCCTCCAGCCATCTCCCCTTGGAGAAGCTCAGCATAACGCGTCACTCCTTACACAAACTTGCCTTCCTTTCCTTCAGAAAGCTTATCAGCATCAGTGATACCTGACATTAATCATTCTCCATCTTCTTACCACCCAAATGGAAGCACCACAAAATGAATGATTTATTGTGTCATTACTGAATTCTGAACGGTGCTGGCACAGAATGGTTGCTCAGACAAACCTGTCACTGTAAAGAAAACTCTTGCATGGTTCCCTTTATCCCTACTTGGCCAAATAAGTTGCAGGTCATTTAACTCTGGAAAACCAAAGGGCAGGGCAGGGCAGGGCAGACAGACCCATCTCGCCTGCCTGTGGTTGTCTCGGGGCGACAGGCACGGGGCTGCGCGGCAGACCTTTGTGGGCTGGGAGCTGCGCCACTGGCCTGGGACTTGAACATTCCCCGGAGCAAGCTTGACGGGGCGAGGGGTGAGCAGGCATCCCCCCTGTGGTGAGACCCATACCTGTACCAGCACTTTTTCTGCACATGGTGACTGTTGATGTCAAGTCAGAGGATCCGAGGGGCTACAGTGTTGTGCTGAAGAGTCTTCTGCACCACATTCTAACCCCAGAACTCTTGGCACCCACAGAAGTATCTAGTTCTGCCAATCCCAAGGTTGTCATAAACAACTCCGTTGATTGTAAGTAGAACCCTGGTTCGACTGGCACTATTAAAGAAGCCAATTCGTGTGACGAGGAGACGCCTCCCCCAACAAGTCTAGCTGTTCCTGTGTACACTGCATTCCAGGAGCCCTGGACATGGAGTCTATGAAACAATGGGATACAAAAAGGTGCTCCAACAGGTCAGGGCTGCTTATCTGCTCAGTTCCAATCCTGGCACTTAGGAACAGAGACTTATGTAATGTCCAAAGGCAATAACTACATTTCTGGAAGGAGGAGGGAGCTCAAGCCTGTAATCCTAGCTACTTGGAAGGTGGGGTTCAGGAGGACTGTGTTTGAGGCCAACTAAGGTGAAAGTCCTCATCTCCACACACAAGCTCACCGTAGTTGTGTGCACCAGTCATCCCAGCCACACAGCAGGCACAGCTCGGAGGACTGTGGCTGGAGGCAGCCAGGTGCCAGTGGCTCACACCTATAACCCTAGCCACCCAGGAGGCTGAGAGCTGAGAACTGTGGTTTGAAGCCAGCCCAGGTAGGAAAGTCTGTCTGTGAGATTCTCCCCCCCCCCCACCCCCGTCATGGTGCCTCAACTCTGGGCCTGGGCGCTGTCCCTCAGCTCTTCAGCTCAAGGCTAGCGCTCTACCACTTGAGCCACAGCGCCACTTCCGGCTCTTTTCTTTTTGCTTATGTGGTGCTAAGGAATGGAACCCAGGGCCTCACGCATGCAAGGCAAGTGCTCTACCACTGAGCTACCTTCTTGGGCCCCCATGAGATTCTTATCTCTAATTAAGCACCCACTAGCCTGAAATCACAGTGGCTCAAAGATTAACGCACATGCAAACACACCTGCCTGGAAAGTGTGAGGCCCTGAAGTCAACCTCTCGTCCTGCCCACCTGCCCGCCCCAAAAAGTATGGAACAAATTATGATCAGTACTTCAGAATTTTCGGCTTTTTCATGTATGTGTATGACAGCAGGAGTCTGATCAGCCAAAGCTCAGATGAGCCATGAACTCCTGGCTGCATCTCCACTTGGATGTGGGCAGCCTCACCTCACATGGATGCGTCTCATGACGGGGCAGGAAGGCTCACATACCTTCCACTGCCTTGACTTTTTCCTCTAATTCCCGCTTCCTCTCCTCCTTTAACATCTGCTCCTGCTCCTTCTTCTGCACAGCGAGAAGAATCTGACGCTCTTCTTCCTCCTCCTTGCGCTTCTGTTTCTCTATCCTGGCAAGTACAGGAGTCCCCTGTGAGGAGCCAAGGCGGAGTAGAATCAATGGACCAAACGCGAAGCAGAGTGAAGATGCAAGTTATTGGCTTCAACATCCTGCACTGACTAGTTAATGTAAACAGGGGAGGACTTCAAAGGGCAAAGGATGGCAATGCCATTTAGACAAATTGTATTTAACAAGGAAACCACTGATTTTTTTTTTCTTTGTTGATCATGGGGCTTGAACTCGGCCTGGGCGCTGTCCCTGAGCTCTTCAGCTCAAGGCAAGCACTCTACTACATGAAACACAGCACCGCTTCCAGTTTTCTAGTGGTTGGTTAATTGGAGATAGAGTCTCACGGACTTTCCTGCCTGAGCTGGCTTTGAACCACTTTCCTGCCTGAGCTGGCTTTGAACCGCGATCCTCAGATCTCAGCCTCCTGAGTAACTAGGATGACAGGCGTGAGCCCCCGGTGCCCAGCCTGGTTTGTTTGTTTTGGGGGCAAGGGAGTTGTTTTTTGTGGTTAAAGCAAGTTTAGAAGTAGATTTCTCAAAGTCACTTTACCACTTTAACCCTGATGTTAGAAGAGCTTGCAAAGTAAAACTCTAGAATAAACAGAGAGGAATAAAAATTAAAAACTATCACTGACTGTATACATAACATTGCACTTGTAAGCAGGCTGCACAGAACAAAGTCCTGAAACCACCATCTCCCTCAACCCAGGCAGGCAGACGATGATTAGGAACTGGCGTGCTTCTACACTTGGCAAAGGACAGTTACCTGGGAGACGCCATCGCCCTCCTAAATAAATGCCAGTGAGCCTCTTCCCAGCATCCCACCAGCAATCCTGTTATCCCAGCCTGAATACGTATCATACACCAAATCACAGAGACCAAAGCAAGACAGCTGTACAGTGATTCCCAGACAATGTGTGTAAGACATCCAATGAAAGTGACAAAGAGGAAAACAGCCTTGTCAATGGAGTTACTTCATTCTAACAAAACGAATGGCCCCTTGCCTGATGCAGGAAGGCCATCTTAAATGACCACAATTATTTAAGTAACTTACAATGTATGTGTACATTTGTCGCCACAAATATTCTGAAATATCTGTGAAATATTCTTCCGTTCTTCCTTTACCATTACAGGGTATACTAAACAGAACAAGCATTTGTTTCGGGTCGTTTCTGGTTCTGGGGACCCAGCCTGGTCAAGGGTCTCCGGAGTGCTATACAACCACTCTACCCAGCTATCCCCCAAGATTAGCTTCTTTCCTGAGGAAATGCAAATCAATCACTTATGAACAGAAAAAATACCACTGAAGACCTAATCTGCAAACAAACACAAGAACTGCCCTGAAGCGTTCCACATGCACCTGGCCACACTCAGGTGCTGAGGGAAAGGAGGACAGCCACTCAAGCCACACCGCAGCAACGCACACTTTTTGCAACAAAAACAAAGGGACACTGCAAACATGTAAAGAACTCTTAACAGCCGGGCGCTGGTGGCTCACGCCTGTAATCCTAGCTACTCAGGAGGCTGAGATCTGAGGATCGCGGTTGAAAGCCAGCCCAGGCAGGAGAGACCGTGAGACTCCTATCTCCAATAAACCACCAGAAAACCGGAAGTGGCGCTGTAGCTCAAGTGGTAGAGCGCTCGCCTTGAGCTGAAGAGCTGAGGGACAGCGCCCAGGCCCAGAGTTCAAGCCCCACGACCAACCAAAAAAAAAAAAAAAAAAATGCTTAACAGACCCCCACTTGAAAACCAATATGCAACTCACAGAAGGTAATAAACCACACAGGGCGCAGAAATGTTCAGTGGGATCTGTTTGTAATAAAGGGTCTGAAGCAAATGGGTAGCTAGCTGCAAATGGCAATGATTCCTCAATTACACATTATGAAGGTTTTCGATATTTAAGTTTTCTTTTTTCTTTGTCAGTCCTGGGGCTTGAACTCTGGGCCTGGGCGCTGTCCCTCAGCTCTTCAGCTCAAGGCGAGCACTCTACCACTTGAGCCACAGCGCCACTTCTGGGTTTCTGGTGGTTAATTGGAGATAAGAGTCTCACGGACGTTCCTGCCTGGGCTGGCTTTGAACCACAATCCTCAGATCTCAGCCTCCTGAGTAGCTGGGATGACAGGCGTGAGCCACCGGCACCCAGCTCCCATGAGACTCTTATTTCCAATTAACCAAAAACCATCAGTGGTGCTATAGCTCAAAGTAGAAGAGCTGAAGAGCTGAAGGACAGTGCCCAGGCCCAGAGTTCAAGCCCCATGACTGAAGGAAGGGCTCCAGATGCCTTTGGGGATAGGGTGGTCGCCTAGAAGGGTCTGGGTTCAAATCTCAGCATAGTCGCATAAAACATACGTAACAACAAGGTGCTGTGTGCTGTTTTAGTGTACGTAGATCTATTCTGTCATCAGGTTAAACACACGTAACAACAAGGTGCTGTGTGCTGTTTAGTGTACGTACATACATAACAACAAGGTGCTGTGTGCTGTTTAGTGTACGTACATACATAACAACAAGGTGCTGTGTGCTGTTTAGTGTACGTACATACATAACAACAAGTTGCTGTGTGCTGTTTAGTGTACGTAGATCTATTCTGTCATCAGGTTAAACACACATAACAACAAGGTGCTGTGTGCTGTTTAGTGTACGTAGTTCTATTCTGTCATCAGGTTAAACACACATAACAACAAGGTGCTGTGTGCTGTTTAGTGTACGTACACACATAACAACAAGGTGCTGTGTGCTGTTTAGTGTACGTACATACATAACAACAAGGTGCTATGTGCTGTTTTAGTATACATAGGTTTATTCTGTCATCAGGTTAAACGTAACTATCTTCTTAGACATTTATCATTCATGGCCAATAAAAGAAGCAAAAAAAATTCTTTTTGACTGTATATGATAAACAAACTCTAGCTGTAGTCACTATACCATACAATAGCAAACCAGAATTTTTTTACTTCTATTTAATGAATGTTCTTCGATTAAGAGGCAGCCCGGCTAAGTTATCAATTAAAAAGGGTATGTATGAAGTAATATGTAATGGTACCATGTAAAAAGCCAGTTGTAAATGGGACAGGGATTGCTGTTTAAATGCTCTATAAGAAAAAGTCCTTCTAGAATCAAGAGGGTGTGTTAATGAGAGGCTAATTAGAAACATCATTGTGGAACCCTCTAAACGACTGTGAACTAAAACCTCTCTCAGGCTAATGCAGTGCTGGCTCCTCACTGCAAGATGCCCTGCTGGTCCACTGGGCTCCCCCCGCTTCCCACCTCCCTCCACCCCCACTCAGCACCCCTAATCCTCAGGCTCAGGGAGCCCATGCCCCTTCACTGATCTTCCCGTAGGGGTCACATTAAAAGATCTTCGGAGGCAGTGTAGTCCCTGGGTGGTCAATGCCTAGGTGCTTAAAAGGCCTGAAAATTTATCTGCTCTGGAAGCTCATGTTATCATTAAGATTTCTCCAAAACATCTGATTCTTAAACAGATATTCAAGTATTGTTTGTGTTCCTACATACTGTGGTTCCTGTATTTCAAGCTAAATAGCAGAATTTTAAAAATAAACCCTACCAAAATAGAAGAAATGTTACTGTCTGATGCTCAACGTCTGCTTGGAGCAGACTCTTCCAGGGTACTTAGATTATGGGCAAATCTGAACAAACAGCTGCCCCATAGCAGTGTTCAAGGAGGCGTTGACTGTGGAGGGAAAAGGCGGAAAGGGAGAACCTAGCAAAAGAAACACGCCTGAGAGCTCGGGCTGGTGCCACTGGCAAGAGGGACCGAGGGAGGTGGAAAGCAGGCGCTGCGGGATTGCCAACACAAAGGCAGTCAGACGGGCAGTCGCCTGAGAGCAAGAAGCGGGCTGAGAAGAAACGGCCTTCTCAGCCTCCTCACCACACATCCCCCTGCCCTGCTCTCCCAAATTCTCAGTCACCTCTCCACTCGGTCAATCTCAGTGAATGAAAAGACCAGAAATTTCTCTCCCCACAGTGTGGCGCTAGATCAAAGTCATTTCACACCTCAAAGGTTATGTCACGAAAGGAAAACACGGAACCATATGACTCATTAGTCCTGGATGGTGCTTGGAAACTTTCTTAGTAATACCCATTTCTTACCCATTTTCTTCAGCTAACAATGTCCTTCAGACTCCCATCTGATACGCTTTCTACTCATATGACTGATAATAAACACCAAAAATGTCCTGCGTTTCAAGAGAACTGTCTTAGGAGAAATGTGAGCAACAGACTTTCTGACAAGGCCTTGTCACTTGGGCAATTCATCTCAGCAGAGAGACAGCATATCCATCCTATTCCAATTCACAGCCATTTCAGGCCCATACTGTACCAAACAGGGACCAACTGTGAACCCTCCTTTCTACTATTGTTTGAAATAAGACTGGTTGGTTTTATGTAGGCGATCCTGGCTTCCAACTCAGGATTGTCTTGCCTCTGGCTCTGACAGACATCTACCACAACACCAGCTTTCTTTACTTTTCATTTTCTTTCACTGCTCAATTTCCCAAAAGGTTGGTGAATGGTGATCAATCAAGACATTCCTTTATTCACTGGCCTACCTCTTCTATTTGTTCACTAGCTTCTTCCATTCCTACCATTCTATTCTCTAAGGAAATAATTTCTCCCCAAAGGTCATCTCCTCCATTCTAGATATTTCAAACAGCAAAAATTCTACTTCCTCTTGCTGTAACTACTATTTAGTACCACCAGTTTTTTCTTATAAAAGCATATACTTAGCCTGGGCACCAGTGGCTCATGGCTATAATCCTACTCAGGAGGCTGAGACCTGAGGATTGTGGTTCAAAGCCAGCCCAAGCAGGAAAGTCCATGAAACTCTTATCTCCAATAGACCACCAGAAAACCAGACGTGGTGCTGTGGCTTAGGTGGTAGAGTGCTTGCCTTGAGCTCAAGGGCTCAAGGACAATGCACAGGCCCAGAGTTCCACCCCCACGAGCCACCCTCCCTCCCACCCCCCAAAAGGCATTTACTGTATATGGAGTGAGCAGAGAGCATTCTTCCAAAAGCAAGTGGCAGCTTGCTTCTGTGCCTACTGAAGATATAAATAAAGAGGAGACTCTGGAGAGCCCTACTCTGCACTGTAACACCACGCATCGCACCTGCCCAGCTGCGCGCACCACACACGGCTCTCTACCATGCTGTGTGCTTCCTTGCCACGGGGAGACTGCGCTGGGCTCTACCACTCTCCCCGCCAACTACCAGAATCCAAGCCACCCCCAAGCCCAGGCCAAACACTGCCCAAGTCCTTCCTTCTTTGCTTTGCGTTCATAAACTTTTTACCTCTATTTTACAACTTAGCCACTCTGATCTATATTAGAGTATACGTGTGGATGCACCTATCACTCAAGGAGATGAGACTATGATCTAACGATTTATTTCCATATTCTCTTTACAGAAATGGGCCTTACATGCAAAAATCCTTAATAAAGTTTTTGAGACTTAAATGAAGAAAAATAAAGAAGTGAAAACAAAAGCTACGTGAAAGGGAGCTGCCCTTTCTGTCTCTCTGCTTGCACACTCACTCACCTCTGGTCTGATGGAGTCCATGGACAGGTGGTCTGACATCCACCTAGGTTGCAACTCTGCCTTTGTGCGCTGTGGACGTTTTCCCTATAGTTAGAAGTGAGGAAAAGAAAGGGATAGACAGATTAGGGTGCTCTCAGCTACTGCCGCTGCCACCGCCAGAAAAAGAACCACGGAGGCACAGAGGAAATCGCCAATGGTGACGATCTATAAGACGATCAGGACAACGAGTATTTAGCTATGCCAGGTTCTAAGGCAATAAATTACTACTATCACTCTCGGTGGTACTGAGGTTTGAGCTCAGGATCTTCAGCTTGGTAAGCAGGTTCTTTACCACTTGAGCCATGCCTCTTACATTTTTTGTGCTGGCTATTTTTGAGATAAGGTCTTCCTTTTTGTGAGGGAACAGGCTTGGACCATAATCCTGCTCTCCTTATGCTCCGGCCAGTAGTTGGGATGAGGGTGCACATTAACATAACAAGCTCAGCATATTAAACAAAACAGCCAAGAATCTCCCATGACAACCTTTACCAAAGGAAAAAAAATAATATTAAGAACATTTTTCCACTGAGCACTGATGGCTCATGCCTGATCCTAGCTACTCTGGAGGCTGAGATGTGAGGACTGCAGATACAAACAGGCTAGACAAAAAAGTCCCTATCAAAACCTCGGAGTGGCACTGTGGCTCAAAGCGGTAGAGCACTAGCCTTGAGTAAAAGAGCTTAGGGACAGTGCCTAGGTCTTGGATTCAAGGCCCACGACCAAAAAAACCCAAAACAACAGTACATGTCTAGACTCCAAGTTCAAGGCCAGCTTTGGGTACCTTACCCAAATTCACACTAATGGTAAAGCTCTGTCTTACCACAGTAATAGCAGTTAAGAAGCTGGACACTAGTGGCTCATGCCTACAATCCTAGCTTCTCAGGAGGCTAAGATCTGAGGACTGTAGTTTGAAGTCAGTCCTGACAGCAAAGTCCATGAGACTCTCATCTCCAAAATAAACTACCAAAAAGCCAGAAGCAGAGCTATGGCTCAAGTGGCAGAACGCTCGTCTTGAGCAAAAAACAAAACAAAAAAAGTCAGGGACAGACAGTGCCCAGGCCCTGAGTTCAAGTTCCAGGACCAGCATCAGAAAAAAAAAAAAAAAAGGCAGCTGGAAGCAGAAAGCCCTTTTAAAGGTCAGTCAGTGGCAGTAGGAAGAAGTGAGGGAGGGCATCTGCCCAAGCAGAGTCCAGAATGAGTGAAAGTGGGAAGAAGACACAGCAAGGAGACATCAGAAAGCTCATCTGTGAAGAACGCTGAGAAAACTGAGCAGCCCGAAAGCGACCACTTGGAAATCTCAAAGGAGGAGCTTCGGAGATGATCTACACCTAGGCGTGCACTCTAGCTGACACTGTATTAGCAGGTGCCTGCAGCCTGTGGGGTTCTGGTGGATGAGCCACCTTGTAGCCTGCTAGACAAGAGCCTTCGGTCAGATAGTCCAACAACTTCCACAGGACACATTCTGGAATCCTGATCTTCCTTTCAAGAATTCTCAAGACTTCTTCAAGTTATAATGATGTAAGTCATCAAACAACAGAGTAACAGTAAGGAATAGTTCATATGGTTTAGGCACACTGCAAAGGGAGAGGGTCAGCAGTTTGGACACCTTTTCTGGGGGGGGGGGGTCCTGTGTAAATTCAATCACAAGATCCAAAGTATTGTGACCTTCTTCCTTTTCCACAAAAGCTACCCCAGCAGTTTATAAGGTTCAAGACATTAAGAGAAGATCTCTTAAACTTTAAACGCAGACTAGCACAGAACTTTCCAAAGGGAAATCTCATCGATTTACCATGCTAATAGCACAAAAAGCCAACAGCACTTTCACTCCAACACTGTGACATCACAGAAGAGCGACTAAGGAAGACCTTCCTGTTCTCGGCACAGAGGGGTGTCCTGACATACATACTGTCACCTTTTGTGTACACAGTCTAAACCAATTTATTTAAGTGTCTAATGTTTAAGAGCTGTCCCAAACACAACTTTTAGACTAAATACTACTTTCTGTATCACCTTTTTTTTTTTTGGGTCAGTCCTGGGGCTTGAACTCTGGGCCTGGGCGCTGTCCCTCAGCTCTTCAGCTCAAGGCGAGCACTCTACGGCTTGAGCCACAGCGCCACTTCCGGTTTTCTAGTGGTTTATTGGAGATAAGAGTCTCACGGACTTTCCTGCCCGGGCTGGTTTTGAACTGTGATCCTCAGTTCTCAGCCTCCTGAGTAGCTAGGATTACAGGCGTGAGTCACCAGCTCCCGGCCACTAACATTTTTATATGCCCAAAGGCCTCACCTCCTTAATTCTCTCCAGTTTACTAACATACCTCCAGAGATGTATCAAATCTTCTGTCTGTATTTTATTAAGAAATGTGGGTTTACTTTCCAATTGAGATTCTTCATCAGTTACCCACCATCATCATCATCATCAAACAATGCACGAGACTCCATGCCTCCTAAGTGCTATGCACACTAACGTAAGTTCTTTTGTTTAATACCCACCAGACTTCCTATGAAGACAGCACTCTGCAGGTGGCAAACAGACATGAATCTCAGAACTATGACCTATCTTCTCCAAGGGATCAACAGAATAGGGTGGAGCCATGATTCAGGTGTATCTGAAGGAAAGCTCCCAGTTCTTCACACTACCCTTTACCAGGAACCCAGTCTCTGTGACTGCCTCCCCTTCCCACTGTTTAAAATGTTAGTTTAATGTTGTCTAATGTGAGCATCATATTCTTTTCTGCTGATGTTTCAATTGCTACATCTGAAAAGACATTTTTCATCGTTGCAACACAGAGCCAAGTGACAGTGGCTCACACCTAGAATCTGAGCTGCTCAAGAGGCTGAGATCTGAGGATCATGGTTCCAAGCCAGTCCAGGCCAGAAAGTCTCTTGAGACTCTCATCTTTATTTTACCACCAAAAAGCCAGAAGTAGAACTGTGGCTCAAGTAGTAGAGCATTAGCCTTGAAAAAAAAAAAACATCAGGGACAGCACTTGGGCCGAGTTCAAGCACCAGGACCATCATATACATATGAGCACGTGCACACACACACACACACACACACACACACACACACACACACGGGGGGGCATGGCTCAGTTGGTAGAACACCAGCCAATGAGTAAAAGCATCATTTGAATTAGGTCTTAGATAAAAGAAAAATGGGGGGGGACACCCACAGTGAAATAAAACAAAGAATTTTGAAATTATGTACTCTTCAAATAGTTATTACTCGCTAATCATAGGCTGTAAGACCCTATGGAGGGAAGGTTTCTGCAATTTGTTCACATAAACACCTATTAAACTTTTATCTGCTTTTCCAGTTTCCTCTTTTAGACAAAAGTAACACCTCTTCATTTGAAAACCAATTATCTTTTTACCATTTTATCTTAATTTCACAGGCAAGACTTTTAGAAGCATCTATTCATTATTTTACCTCTTCCTTTTTTCTTTTTTTCTTTCTTTGGTGCCAGTCCTGGGGCTTGAACTCAGGGCCTGGGCACTGTCCATGAGAGCATCTTTTGCTTTCTTTACCACTTGAGCCACAGTGGCACTTCCAGCTTTTTCTAAGTAGTTTACTGAAAATAAGTGTGTCATGGACTGGCTTCAAACCTCGCTCCTCAGATCTCAACCTTCTGAGTAGCTAGGATTCATAGGCCTAAGACACCAGTGCCAGGCTTCCTCCCTCTAAAACAAAGGGTTTTTTTTTGCCAATCCTGGGGCTTGAACTCAGGGCCTGGGCAACTGTTGCGGAGCTTCATTTGCTCAAGGCTAGCTCTACTACTTGAGCCATAATGCCACTGCTAGCTTTTTCAGTATGTCGTACTGAGGAATTGAACTCAGGGCTTCATGCATGCTAGGCAAGCACTGTACCACTGAGCCACCTTCCCAGCCCCCAGGTTCCCCTTTTTTGAGGCTTGAATTCAGGGCCTGGGAGCTGTCTCTGAGCCTCTCTGTGCTCAAGACAAGCACGGTATAAGCCATAGCGCCACTTACAGTTTTTGAGTGGTTACTTGGAAATAAGAGTCTCATGGGGACTTTCCTGCTCCAGGCTGGCTTCAAATCATGATCCTCAGATCTCAGCCTCCTGAGTAGCTAGGATTATAGGCCTGAGCCACTGGCACCCAGTTCCCCAGCCCATTTTTTTTTTAATTCTTTTAATTATGTTCAACAGTTGTATAAGGGAGTTTCAATGTAACATGTGCATGTATGTATATGATACATCTTAAACAGTCACCTATCATCCACCACCAAAAAAAACTATCCGGCCCCTGCCCGTCAAGTTTCTGGTTCCATTTTCATGCATACACACTGAGTATTCACCCACATTTCTCTTTCCACTCATCTTGCTGTGAAAAGGCATTCAGCGTCCTGGTGAGGGACAGGAACGCGGGCCTTTGTGAAGGCCAGAGCATCACCCCAGCCTCCTCCGGTTTCGGGTGTGTGTCCACAGGCCTGTCGCTGCGGTATGGAGCCGGTCCCTAGGAAAACATACCTTCTGGGCGATCATGTTGCAGATCTCAGGCAGAAAGTCCTCACTGAGGAGCTTGTAGAGCTGCCGCTCTCGGAGGGAGGACCGCTCTCGGAAACTCTCGGTGACCTGTCTCCACTCCTCTTCTGTCTGGCACAGAAGCCACCATGAGCCTTGACCAGGTCTGTGGGACCCTAAAAATCAAGGGTGGTTCACTGTCATGATTTCCTACTTACTACCCTGCGGGGTCATGACTAAAAGGAGACAGCAGAGAAAGAGAGGGAGAGGGAGAAGGGCAGGGCGGGGGAGCAGCCATCCTGGGATATGCATTCAGAGGCTGGGCTCTGTCCCTGAGCTTTTTCTCTTTCCCTCAAAGCTAGTGCTCTACTACTTGAGGTACAGCTCCACTTCCAGCTTTTTGGTGGTTAATTGGATATAAGAGGTTCACGAGCTTTCCTGACCATACTAACTTTCCACTAAGATCCTCAGATCTCAGCTTCCTGAGCAGCTAGAATTACAGGTGTAAGACACTGACACACATACCCCACATGTTTTCTTCTTTTATTTTTTGAGGTGAGATCTTTTTTTTTGGGGGGGGTCCGGTCATGGGGCCTGAACTCTGGGCCTGGGCGCTGTCCCTTAGCTCTTCAGCTCAAGGCTAGTGCTCTACCACTTGAGCCACAGCATGAGGTGAGCTCTTGAGGCTGCTCTTGAGCTGCTGAGATCCTTAGCCTCCCAAGTGCTGGGATTACGTGTGTGTGTGTGTGTGTGTGTGTGTGAGTGTGTGTGCACATATATCACCAGGCCCAGATGATAATGTATACTTTTTACCTTCCTGTTACTGCGTACAACTAAAACATGTAAAGAAAACACAAACCTAAATACTGTGGCTTTAATGAGCTCAATATCCAAGAAATGCTTAAATGTGTTTACTTTTCTTTAAAAAAGTGTGAGTTTGAGCTTTTGCAGAAGTTTATGCTTTCACATCATTTATATTGTGATATTGTAAGCAATTTCCCACCCAAAATTTATGCTAGTTGGATAACAGAGTTAAAATCTAAGTAGGAAAGCAGTATGTCATAAAACATTGACGTTACAGAGAAAAGCTTCTTGTTCACCACATGTGAGGTTCCTGGACACTTGTGAGTAGCCTAGTGCTGGCATTAAACTGCATGGACTGGGGGAGATGAGTACATGACGAAAGATGATGAGCAAAACTGGGAGTGGGGGAGAAGGAGGGAGGGGGAGGAGGAGGGAGGGAGGAAGGGAAGATCTCTGCATGATTAAAAAAGAATCACTATCATAACAGACATGAAGCAGGGGGAGTCTTAACACCCACAAGGGTCATTACCATTTCTTGTCTGTGTCTCAGAGGCTAAGGAGTTTTCTTCTTGCTTTTCACTGAAACATAGGAAAATGATGTGGCATATTAAAAAATGTTTTAAAAAGGCAAGTGCAAAATTGCTTGATACTTTCCCCAGAATGTGGACTCCATATATGAAGGAAAAGGGATGCCTGTGAGGGGCAGCTGCTCAGCGGCCGTGCAGGGACACAGGTGCCCGCAGCCTCAGTGCGCAGGGAAACATTAACTTACTAAGCGTTGTTAACAGCTGTGTCCAGAGAGCCCTGGGCGCTCCATGTTCCCCTCCCCAGTTCAGGGCTAACCTTACCTTATCTACAACAAAGGCTATGAACGTGGGCTGGGAAGCTGGACTGCCTCTTCTCAAGATCTGTCAGCATGGGACCTCCCTCAGGAAAACTAACTTTCCTGAAATGGGGGCTGTTAATAGTTCCTAACTCACCAGGCACATGGGATTAAATTACAAAATACACAACATCGTATCACAATGGCTAACCAACATCCCGAAGACAAGAAGGAACTCTGGGTTCTTTGTTTTTTTGTAAGCATTCATATAGTTTGCTATAAGTCTGAAATGGAACTATTTGTGGCTATTAAAACCTGTTTGTGGCTAGTAAATTTACATATTATAACTTATATAAAATCTCAAATTGGAATTAAATTTCTCTTAATTTTTTTTTTTGTTGTTGAGAGACTGGGATGTGAACTCAGTACCTGAGGTTTTGCTCATTGGCTGGTGTTCTACCAATTGAGCCATACCTCCAACCCAAAACTTTAAAATATTTAAACACTGCTCCAGCTGCAAAGTTATTAAGATAAGAAATGCACCAGGAAGCCGGGCGCTGGTGGCTCACGCCTGTAATCCTAGCTACTCAGGAGGCTAAGATCCGAGGATCGCGGTTCAAAGCCAGCCCGGGCAGGAAAGACCGCGAGACTCCTATCTCCAATAAACCACCAGAAAACCGGAAGTGGCGCTGTAGCTCA